GACACTGCTGAGGCCTCAATCTGTGCCCCTCCCACGCCCCTTCCCGCAGAACAGACTTACCAGCCAGACCCAGCTGCTGTCCACACTACTGGGTTGTGCTCCTGGCCACCTGCACACTGCACTGAGGCTGTGCACATGCACATAGCATTTATCAGCCATATTATTGGCCACATCAGTTCTGCATACCCCCCTACAACCTTTTTAATACCCATAGGGGTACACATACCCCTGGTTGACAACCACTGTGCTAAGTGATTCTTTAAAAAAAGAAAAATATAAGTAAAGGAAGAAAAGAGATCAGTTTGAGTCTTTAGACTGTTGCCTGTTGCAAGAGTTCCCTAGGTCCTGATACCACTCCCAGGCACTGGAGAAAAGAGCGAAGCCTTTAATTACATTTATGACATTAGTGAATTTTTAAGCAAGGTCTCTAGAAATCAAAACCAAGGACATGTTAACCTACAAAATCTACTCAAACTCTTACCCTCTAGTTCCATGATCTTTTTCTGTCACTAATGCATGACTTATGTAGTGCTAAGTGTCCTATCAGTCTGCCATTAAATACTTAAAAACGTTATGCCCATTTTATGGGTAAAAATGTAAACAGATATAGAGAAAGGTCAGCTGATTCAGTACCGTATAGCTGGTTTATATCAGGGCAACACTAGAACTCCAGAGAACCTCCTGACTAACAGTCCAATTCTTAGTTTTCTAATATGCTAGGCTACTTCCCAACACACAAGCATATTTTCTATTCTCCTCAGGAAACTAGACTAGAGTAGAAATGTTTAAACAAGGAAAAAGCCCTGCTCATTCTTTTCCTATATATTCTGTTAGGTAATCAATCATCATTATCAAACCATTTAATCCAGCCAGTTATTCTTTTGGTCTTTTCTTGAACTACTGAAAAAAATGGTACTTGCCTAGGTATGTGTATCGTCTCGCTATCACAGCATCATCGTTTAGTTTGAAATATGTGTTGTCAGTGAGGTTTAACACTTTGACGGTTCCTGTCCAGTAATAAGATCCTGGTGCTCCCATGATGACCAGCTCCTACAAGAGAGAAAAGAAAAAAGGGGAGAGGGGAGGGAGCCAGCACAAATTAAGAAAGAATCCAAGTTTTATAGAGTTGTGTACAGGGCCAAATTTATATCAAGACACTAACAAAGCATCTGCCTCTAAGAAGGTAGTATTTTCCATCCCAAACATCCTCCAAGAGTTTTTTTTTTCCAAGTACAGGAATTATTTCACGCACCCCTATTATTTCACAGGAATATCTGAATGGTTTGAATTCTGCTGGCCCCTTCTGTTACCTCCACAAGAAGTATCCAAAATCAACTTTGTAAGCTACCAACATGCCCGCAGAGTCATCCTTCCAACAACTGCTCCTCCCATAGTTGTTGCAAACTCCTAGGGTCCCAAATAACCAAAAAATCCATAATGAACTACAAAATCCCAACCAGCCAACTGGACCTACTTCTCTTGCTGACTACTTCCAACTTCCTAATGATCTGCTAAGGACGACTAGTTTATGGGTTCAAAAGGACAGATGCTCAAGTTGCTGTAAAATAGTGCTGCTCCACAATGAAGATCCACTACAACTTATGCCAGTGAGCTAAACTGACTGTAGGATGACAATCGGTGGGCAAGTGGGGCATGATCCCAGACATTTGTTTGAGAGTATGTAGCAGGGAGGGGGCACCAGAAAAGAGTTGGGGGGATGCCTCACCCTCCCATTCCCATCTTTGCTACATACTGAACATTCCTTGCAGCAAGAAAGACAGTTTAGCAATGGCAGTGTATGGTGCCCAGAAGCAGTCACCAGAGGTGTTTAAAAGGCCTCTCACCGCACATCAATGGTAAAAAAAATGGGATGACATCTCCCCTGCAGCAGTGAACATCCAGCTGCAACTTGTGCCACCACTGTCCAGGCTGCAGAATTGGCTACTTACGCCTCAGTAAACTGATTTAGTGTTCCAGGTAGAGGAAAACTCATGCTTATAGATTGTTTTGACCAAAAATCAGCCAAAATGTGATGGCTTTAACATTTTAGAAGAGTTTTGCTTTGAGTTGCTGGTTTGACTTGGACCTAGCATTCAAAGCAAAAAAAACAGGCTAACTGAAGCCTTCTGAGCTAAAAATCAAAGAAAGGTTCAAACCGATCCCTGCAAAGCAAACCACCAGGTTTTCCCATCATTCTAAATGAGAACCACAAACTTTATATAGTAGTAGCAGTAGAAAAGGGGAGTGCGAGAGGCATTGATCTCCAAGTAAAATCAAACACATAGTGATTTCTGGCTGAATGCCATGCACAGCTGAAAAAAAACCAAACCTAAGAATAATATTTGAAAAATTTGATTTGTGACCTAAAAAAAGGGCTAAATAGGAGTCAATATAAGCCCAAAATAAAAACCAGGCAATATCTGATGTGAAGGAACTGAAAATTAAATTTGCTCCTGTTCTCTGAGGTAATTTTCAGCCACTCCTGAACAAACTGGTCTGCTCCATGTACCCTCCTCCTCTCCATTCCTAATTCCACAGGAAATAAAGCCCAGTGCTTGACTCATGTAGCTCATTTTCAGAGTGAACTCTTTCCTCTCTTCCCATAAATGAATCACCATTATTAGGCAAAACTGTACAAATCTTGGAATTCACTTAATCAACTGCCAGGATGCAAAAGGGTATCTCTGCTGGTTTGCAAAGAAAGCACAATGGGGAGAGAAGGGAACTAATAATCACTCCCTTCCTGCCCCACTAACCCCCCACCCCCATTTAAAAACTATTGGTGGCACATCATGTTCTATACTGAGCTTACCAAAGTTAGAGCAACATGTAAAAGCCTCACCCTTACAGAAGTATAATTACTGTTTCTAAAAGGAAAAGATTGTCTAAGTGTGTTAGAATATTTTAGGTAATGTGCCTCTATAGAAAAACTGATGCAGGAGTCAGACCTGAGTGAAAAAAGATGAAACTTCGAGTTGTTTAGAGTGTGATAGGGAAAATTATACAGAGCGCCAGAAGTTAAGTCTAGTTTCTTAAATGGGGGATCCTAGATGAATGCGTGAATCCCATGCTGGGATGTTCTTAGGATGTAAGAGAGATCCCTGACCAACCCCACCCCTGAAAACTTATGCACTCTCCTGCAGCATTTGAGATATATTTTAAATTTAACCTAAGCTGTGGTGTTTGTTCTCTTTGTATCCTCTAATGGCATCTACTTCCATTTCTAAGGTGGCTCCTCCACTCAGGAGAGGATCCTAACCATTTGGCTATAAAACTTTCAGGGATGAGGTTCTTTCCCACTAAAGCTGTTCTACTTTGTATAAAATACAAAGTACATTATACTACAATACTGAGACAGAGAACAAGAGGGTGAGAAGCCCAGTAGCTAGTTGGACACCTGGGCCACACCCAGATGAGCACAACTATGGTATGTGTGCCACAGACATATCTGTGGTGCCACATACCACCCGTTCCCTTGTTCTCCATGCTGCAAGAGAGCAGAATGAAAGGTTTTTTTGACCCCTGGATATCCAAGGGTCAGAAAGACCCTCAGACAAAAAAAAAGCAGAGCTGAGCATGCGGTGGCGGCATGCGCTGCCCAAAGCTGGAACCTGGCCAGCTGGAGCCGCACTCTGCTGCCAGCCAGGCTCCGCACAGCAGGATCTCCACTGCTGCAGCCCCAGGAGGCCCCCAAGACCTCAGGTAAGGCTCCTAGGGCCAGCCCAGTGTTGGCCTCAGCCTCTACTACCTGACCTAGGTCAACTTGCTACGCACCAGCACGTGTATGGCACGGGCATTCCCTGGGAACAACTAGCAGCGACATAAGGTTCACCGCCGCTAGTTGTCCCTAGGGAACTAAACGTCTACGCACATCTGGACACAGCCCTGAACTCCAGTTCCTGCTCCACTGAACAGACTTAGAGTATCCTACCTCAGTACACACCACAGTATGGTGGTCAAAGTACTTTTCTTGGAAGGTGAGATGTGGATTAAACTCCTCTGGGGCACAGGAAGAAACTGAACCTGTCTTTTTCATCCCAGAGAAGTCTTCTAATAGGTAAGCTGTTGTGTAAAATGGAACCATCACCACCCCAACCTCTAGTTTGCTCTTCTGACAGTGAGCCAATTTGAAACACTGCATCTTAGATCATTCGGACTGCTTTGTGTTGGACAAGCCAGAAATTCTTTTTATTTTTTTAGTTTGACAATAAAACTGGGGGGAAAAAATCATAAAGTTGGTTCAGATAAAACCGTTTCCCCCCCCTTTTTTTTTAGTTTAACAACCAAGCTGAAAAAGCCATTATTTGCACAGCCCTACTTAAGTAGAACATGAAATAAGCCTAGATCTTGCGAAGGGAAATCCTGTTCTAAATTCCCTAAATTCAGAGGGACTTTGCTCCTAGAATGCTCTGTAGAGAATGCTGGAGATTATTCTCTACTCCAACACTGCTGAACATAAAGGCATTATTTGTCAGGATAAGACAGCACACTGCTCTAACCATGGATTATTGCTGTAAAGCCATGTAACTGTATATGTAAATCTGTGTCCCATGTAGACAAACTGTAAAATTCAGAAAGCCTATAGTACAAAGTTGCTTTGTGTCTTTTCTTTGCTCTAACAAACAGCTGGCTTTCCTCACCTGTTTGTCTATAGAAGGTCACAGGGAATTTTAAGCCAGTAATCATGTGGAGCACACAGCACCCACTACCAGAATACTGGAGATATTCTTATGGGCCAGCATGTTCCAGTTAAGCGGATACTGAATAAGGACATTTCATAATTCAACCTAAGGACAGGACTACATTCAGACCAAGGAAAAGAAACAAAGCAGCCAGCTAAACAGAGATGCTTACCAGCAGGTTTTGCTCTTGGGAGTGGCTGCGCCCTTGGGACAATGGACTGACTCTCAGCAGAAACAACGAGCATCAGCAGGACTGACTGTAAGGGCTTGCCTATTTGACCTGGAAGCTATTTATCTACATTTCCTGCTCAGATCGAAATAGCTAAAGCTCCATAAGGCAGGAACACTAAAAGTTCAGACTTCTTTTGAACTAGGTGACCGAGGTTTAAAGAAACAAGCTTGATAGACCAGCGAAGCCAGGAAACAGCTGCTGCTGACATGTCTCCTGTTATCAGACAGTACCACTGGTTAGTGACGAGCTGCCACCCATCCACATTTATCTGGAAACATCTTATTCCTTTTTTTTTCCATGTGGTGTTCTCTAGTTTTAATTATACCAACCAGGCCAATCAATCTTTTCAGCCAATTCAGAAGTGGTGTACAAATTAGACAAATGAAACAATTTTCACTGCCTCAGTTGCCTTTCTGGGTAGTGACATCAATTCTACCAATGCTAAAAGAACTCTACCTATCATGCCAATTGAAGCAAAAGAAGAGATAGGGGCCTCATCTTGTAAGCTATGCCAACTCAGACACCCTCTGACATCAGGATAATACCCCACAGACACAGCTGTAATATGAGACCTTGAATACAATATAAGCAATAGAATAGGAGGTAAGAAAATCTGTGATCCTGTAAAAGGCTCCAACTCACACATTGATTCTCTTCTACTATTTCTTGGACTTGGTCAGACTCTTCTCTTCTCTGAATTTAGTTCTCTTGGTTTTAGTTGTCGTTTTCTTCCACTTCTCCTTTCCCATTGCACACAGCATTTTTTGATGATCATACTTCTAAAATTGTCCTACTGAAGCTGCTATCATTCTTCTTGTTAAGCATCCATTAGTACTTTCCAAAGCACTCTAAACTGCCAAGTTAAAATGACTGCCAGGTGGTATAGCTAACTTGAAACTATTCTACCACAGCAGCTGAACTGGCCAGCCTTGGCCCCAGTAGGGTAATGGCAACAGCAGATAATGATGTAATTATGATGGAAAACCAATGACAACTTTGAAGGATGAAGGAACCAGATACAAGGAGAAAGAAAATAGGATTGATGGAAGAGAAAAGCAAAAATTCCTTCCCCAGATGTCCCTCTCTTTCTTTTATTCTCTTACCTCCAGATTTCACTAAACAAATGGTTAATACTTGCTGTCCTGCACCTTTTTGTGCATCAGCAGAAATGACAGATACAAGTAATCCCACTGACAAGAGGTGGGGACCACTGAATAGATAATGACTGTGGGACTTAGCCTGTGCAAAATCATATGTAAATGGAAAACTCTTTGTTTTTTGCTATCTTGACTTTAAAACATAGTAGGAATATTTTGTTTAATTTTGAAAAGGAGAAAAAGACAGAGAGATATACAGCGAAGAGAAGGCAGCATACGTTTGATATACATGTTACTAGGAAATTTAGAGTAAAACATGGAATGTGGTTTTCTACACGATTAACAGCAAATGCCAATGGACCAAATTCATCCCAGATGGAACTGAAATGAGTTTTTAATCAGGAATGAAATTAATCAAGTTTTAATGTAATTAAGAAATAGTCTAAGAAATAATCCACAATACCAGTTTCACCATCTGCATTTCTGAGACAGAAAGAATGGCTAGGACACGTCAGGGAACAATGTGTTTTCTGAATTTAAGGAATATTAAAAAAAAAATTCATGGACGAGTACTTTAAAATAATATGTAAAGGAGACAATAAGCAGCTAATCTAACTATGGAGAACCCTGAAAAAAATGTTACAGGACCTGTACAATAAAATACTCTCTCAATGTGTTTTCAAAATTCATTTATTCTTTCCTGAGGGCATTAACGCATAAGGACATTCATATGGGGATTACTTCATAGGCTCACACAATGTACAAAACTCCACACCCAAAACGTTTCCTTGCCTGTAGGAGAAGAGACTGTGTAAGCAAGGTGGGTGTTTGGTTGTTGTACTACTGAAGTCAGAATATTATTAAATAAAATATGTTAACTACATGGATAGCTGCAAAAGGCATGTTGTACGTATCAAGCTCCTTTCTTGTACACATAGCAAAATAAGAGGAAAGCCCGTCCGCAAAACTGAACTTTTCATCAAAAGTACCACTACCCACCTCAGTGAAGAAGCCTGCAATCCCAGCCTGACATGAGCCATGTTCCTCCCCGTATTTCTTCTTATACTCTAGATTGGAGAAGGGAGGAGGAAAACAAATCACAGTCATTTCAGTCTGTTCCAGCTGTAAGGGGCTCACAGTTTGCTGAGCTCCCTTGCTTCATTCCATACACACTGCTAAGCAAGGGGACACAAAACTCATAAACTGGAGTGAAAAAAAAAAAAACTCAGAAACTCAGTGAACCTCAGAAATGTTGTACACAGATACTGCCAAAAATTACAGTTGATCTGTCTTGGCTGAAGAGGGACAGCATCAACCAAAAATCCTACCTGTGATTTGACTACAACTTTCTACTGACAATTCAACATGGCAGAGCAATGGAGATTGGGTTAGAAATCCAACCCAGAAATTGAACATGAAGTCTTGGTAACATAACAGCAGCAACAGCATTGCCTCTTAAATTAACACCATGCAGTTTAAAGCAACACAGTCCCCTTGGTTCCATTTGAGCTGTCCAAACACATTACTATAAATGCTGCTGAGTAACTGCCACAAAAGTGTAGGATCAGTATTCCTGGTGTGTATTTCTAGCCCTGGTATTGTCTTACCTTTTGGCCCTAGACAAGTTACTTAGCACCTAATTCACAAAGGGTAAAGTTACACATTACACTTAGACCACAGTATGGGCACTTAAAATGCAAGCAACCACACATTAAAGCTCTGCTAACTCATGATAAGTGATCTCTAAACATTTCAAAGTTAGCTTGCACTTGAAGTGATGTATCTCTGGGCTGTGCTACCCAGCTCTTATTAGGGTAACTTCAGTCTGCTCCACAAAGATCAAACTAAAGGTTTGCAGTTCTGCAGCATCCCAGGATGCACCACTCCCAAACCATGTCTCCCCCAATCAGGGAGAGAACCCAGGATATCCTGGCTCCTAGCCACAACCCAGTTTACCAGCCCTGCAATGGCAAGTCAGAGCTATGCAGGCACAAAACAGTATTAACCCTTAACATGCAACTTCTCACAGCATATTCTAACTAGAACACTGCTTAACATTCCACAGCTTTAGTTTGGATTAAGTGTAATGTGCAACTTTATCCTTAGTGTCTCAACACCTAACTTTTAAGGTGCCTGGTTCCTTCCAGGAATGGAATCCAGAGATGTGTGTTAGCTACTTAGATTACTACACAATGAATGGGGAAAGTGAGGCAGCACTTAATGAGATTCACAACAGCCAGCACTGAGTGAGGAATGACTTAAGTACTCAGTGAAAAATCCTGATGACTGGGCTATAACTTAAGCCATCCCTCTCTGCAGGGCTTAAGCACATAATTCTGAGCCACAAGAGGCCCCTTCATCCACTCGGGTTCTCACTCTAGAATGCTTTCCTCAAGTTAGGCACCTCAAACAATTCCTTCCAACACCAGGGAGGAGGCATACCTTTCCTTAAAAACACAGTTAGAGGAGGAAGAGATGGGGCTGCTGTCCCTATTTTATTTGACAGCCTAGTGGCTAAAGCACCCACCATAGACATGAAAAACCCATGTTCAATGCCATTTTCAGCCTGAGGTTTAAGGAACCCCTCTGGGATTGAGGGCACCAGAGTTTCAGTCACTGCTCCGAAGATTGTTCCTGTATTTTAGCCAATGACCGTTTCCTGCAATACGGATGTTTCCTGTAGTCATTTCAGTCAATGACTATTTTATTTATTTCTTATAAAATATATAAGCAGTCCCTGAAAAAACCCCAGAACCCAACGTGCATGTGACACTCACCGCAGATGCAGGAGTGACAAACAGAAGGCTTTGTTCTGCCTGGCTCAGACCTACAACATTTTATCATCTATCTCCCCGCTGAATGACCTAACAACTAGGCACATGACTGTTTTGTTGTAGTTCTCTCACAATCTGCTCTGCTGGATCTGTTCTACTTTGTATAAAATATTAAATATTTGTGGGGCCAAAAAGAAACCAACTCTAGAGCCCAGTGTGTATATATTTAATTATATAAAAGGGCAACAGCTCCAACTGGAAACTGCCTCTAATCTCAGACTACCTAATAACTTAGTGCTTAGGGCACTCAGGGCACCTAGGTTGTTGGAGATCTAACTTCAACCCCTCAGTTTGAACAAGGCAGAGCAGGCATAAGACCTTATTTCACCTGCGCCCCAAGTGAGTGCAATGAGCTGTCAGCTATTCTTGGGTGTACATGTCTTTCTCTTTCAACTTGGAAAGATCTTCATTTTATCTTAATGTGAAACAGATTTTTTCTTCAAAATCATTAAAGTTTTCAAGAAACAGGAAAACCATTCCCTCCACCCTGGAAATATTTCCAACACAAATCTAGCTCTGAATTTTGCAGCTTGAGCCCATCACTGTTTTCTGCACATTTTTTTCCAAAGCTTTACCAAACCAATAAATGTGCAATTGCAATGCATTGCTACTTCCTGCATATTACAACATGTTCTCAAGGATAAGGGGGCTCCAGGGAAAAAGAGTAATTTATTCTGTGAAAACATTCACCATATACCTTGGTAACACTATATTATATGTAACCATTAACTCATTGCTAAATTACAAAGGAATTTGCATGGAATTACTGAGTAAATTGCATCTTTAGAACCAAATCAGTTCCTCATGGGCTTCATTACTATAGTAAAGACAAAAGGGACGACATAATAAACCAAGGCCCGCCCCATGGAAGCACCTTTATAAATGTACAGGGAAATGATGACAGAACTAAAAAAAATAATAATTTAGCATTTCACAGTAGCAAGAATGCTTCTGGTTTAACAAGTTCACTAGTAGACAATTAGCAAAGTGAATAATGGAAAAAGCAAGAATTCTTGTGGGTGATATCTTTTTCTTTGGGTCATCACTTCAATACTATCAAAATTATTATTTCTGTAACAATTAGGGCTGTCCAGATTTTTTTTTAAATTAGAGAAAGTCCAGAGAGTGATAGTTACTGTAAAATAAGACCCTGAACTCCAAAGCAAAACACGTGTAGAGGACATTTTGATCCATCAGAGGCCTGTTGAAAGCAATGGAGTTCCATGCAGATTCAGCAGGATACAGTTTTCAGAATCAAAGTTAGTCAGCAACTCCACTAGCAACACAAAAATTCACCTTAAAGTTACCAAGTTACATCAAGCAATTAAAGGTGATCCCTGTCACACTATTAGTAACTTCATATACCCTCATTCACCAAGTCTGACATTCCTAGCAAGAGCAGATTTATTTGTGTGAACTTAAAACTGAACATCTTTTATCTAAGGGGAAGGCACAGCCTTCTCTTCCTAGTAATTATTTTTCTGGAAAAATACCAGTCAGGCAAGCCTGTCAGAGTTCAAATTTTTGCTAAGTTTAGTTCTTCATCCTTAAATAGGCCTAAATTGGATGCATTTCTAGTCTGTCCACATTGACACTTTGGCTGCCTATACGTGTAATCAGGGGTGGGGGACAGCATTTTAATTAGAGTGGTTCCCAGACAGATGCTCTCATTAAAATGCCACAGCTTCATGTATATTAAGCCCCTATGCGTTTAAAAATGGCCGTACTTGGGCCGTTTTAACTAAACCATGGGATACTTTTAGCTAAAGCTCATCTGATAAGCTTTAACTGAAGTGCCCCAGCAGCCATTTTTTAAACCCAAAGGGGTTTATACATGTGACACTACAGCAATGCTAGAGCATTCCCATTAGAAAGCAAAGCAGACTTGATTAATCAAGTCTACTTCGACTAATTAGGACACATTGGAGCACATGCATGGGTAACCCTAGGGTCCATCAAAGGAATCTGTTTTTATTTTTAAAGGATGCAATCTAGGGAACGATCCTCTCTTCCTGATTCTAGATTTGAAAATTTGCCCTGTAAGTAATTAGCTGAGCATTCACTTTGGGTTTCATTCAGTATTGGATATGTCTGGTTTCTGTGCACAGTTTTCCAAATCCTCAACAACTTTGTACAGGCTTCAAATCTTTGGAGAAGTCACGACTGTCTCTCTTTATTTTTTTAGATATAGTCTCACACTCTGTTCCACGTCTCCCCCTCTGTCTCCCCTTCCCCCCACTCTCCACAAAAAAAATAAAGTACGAGATAGCTAGCTCTAGAAAATGTTCTCTTCTGTTTATCCACGGGTGTAGCCCCTGCAAGCTTCCTCACACAGGTGAATCATGCTTTGACTTTATCCTAAAACAATGGTTTTCAACTTTTTTTCATTTGTGAATGCCTGAATAATTTTGAATGGAGGTGCAGACCCCTTTGGAAATTTCAAATGGAGGTGTGACCCCTCTGAATTGTAAGTGTGAGTATTCACGTACTTCTGGTCATGGGCAACTCGTGCCACCCTACTCGGGGGGGGGGGGGGTCCCCCACAGCTGATCTCACTCACCGCAGCCACGGTGCTTCTGGGAGTGGCTACAGCATTCCCACTCCCCAGCCAGCACTCACAAGGGGGCACTGGTGCTCCCACCAGCTCCCGCTGCCCGTCACCTAAGCGGGGAGTGTGGCCTGTCAGGGGGTACACCAGTGCTCTCAGGGGGTGCACATGCACTCCCTATGCATCACCACTGCTTCTGATTGATCATAGTAACCTTCCACAGACCCCTTAGACAGTTTGCAGACCTCCAAGAGTCTGCAGACCACAGGCTGAAAACCACTGTCCTAGAGAGGTCACTTCAGTGAAAGGAAAAGTATATCAGTGTCTAAGGTCACCGACCCCTTGGCTTGCTGTGACTGAAAAATGGATTTGCCTGACTCTTAGCTGATAGAAATCAGTATAGCTCCACAACGAAACTACACCGATTTAGAACAGCTGAAGATTTGACCTGAAAACTAGAGCTAATTCAGTTTACAAAGACCACTGATCTCACTTACAAAGTAACAGCTTTCAGTCACTTCCAGCATTATCAAGACACAGGCCAGTGATGTAAAGGTAATCTTTACATTACCTTTACTAACCTTTACATTACCTGGGCAGTGGGGTTCCGCAGGGCTCGGTCCTCAGGCCCGCGCTGTTCAACATCTTCATCAGTGATTTGGACGAGGGGGTAAAAAGCACCCTG